GGAGGCAGAAACAACCCTGTTGTCGGTCACCTTACAGCCTTCTTGGTTACCCTGCACTTGTAGAGCTTATAATACACATTGTGATTGTTGACGTAGAGAAGGCTGCTGTGTGACGTGACTAGTAGAAAAACGAGGGGTTGAAACAGGGTCGACATTGTCTTCCAGCTTCCTGTCATGCGCTGCAATCTGCTCATGAAAGATCAGCTGAGAGTGAATTCCATGTGGTGAACGTGTAAACACCAAGGTTTTAGCGGATTAGATGTGGCAGCATAGCTGTCCTGTTATGTAATTGACGGTTAATGGTTTAGTTGTAATGAGTTAATGAGTTAAGGAAGTCAAGATGTTAATTATTAAGTACTGGGAGCTTGATTTTGTGAACTGTACAGCAGCAGCTTTCAAAAGATGGACGTGCCAAATGCGGGATGGGATTATTATTCCTTTTGGCCTGGTGTGGAAGAAACCTTGAGCAGTGGGCCGTATCCCGCAGAGTATGTACGCTAGCCAGCAGTCATCAAAGCAGCTGGTATGACCACAGCCACAGCAGCAGCAGTAACAGCAAGCAGGCATCAGTCAGCCAGGTTCAGCATAACAAATCAAATTGGCAGCAAATAGCAGCAGCAGCAGCAGCAGCAACAACAGTCAGGCTCAGTACAAATAATACGGGTATACATTGCTCGTTCCCTTGCTGCCCTGCACATGGGGCGCAGCTCGTCAGGTGAAACAATCAATGTGCGACCTCAGAGACACTTGCTCACTCTATGGCAGGGATCAGTACCTCACAGAGGTGGAGGTAACATGCTTTTGCCCTTTGTGCCATCACTAAAACTACATAATTGAGAGGGTGGTGACACAGGAGTCAAGAGCAGTGCTTCTTCCTCGACAACAATATTACCTCATTATGCGCTTTAAACAGGGTGGACAGAAGCACAGGGTTTCACTGTAGTCGGGCCCAATTGTGCTGTGTTCACTCTGCCACATAAATTATTTTCCTACAGTACCTCAATGCTTATGTCAGGGTTACAAGAACCTGACACATCCAAATTAGTCCGTAATGCATTTATACAGTTTAAACATTACCTACAATGTTCCTCAGGTATTTTTTATGACTTCTCTGTGGTCCACAGGTCTGAATTCCTTGGGAGAGTGTGTGGCCCCCAATCTCAGCTGCAGCTGTCTGCTGGGCACCAGGGTCAGGGCAGGCCAGCCAGCGTACCACACACTACTTGTTGCCCATTGTTTGTAGTATTATTGTTGTTGTTGAGATTGAAGAACTATTATTTTAATGGTAGTGTGGTGGCTTCGTCTGCCCTGCTCCAGGTTATTGGGTGAAGCCTAGCAGCAGCAGCAGCAGCAACAGTAAAGCAGTGGTGCGGCCACTGCGCCCACGTACAATCAGGGTGTCGTCCTCTCCCAAGGCACAATCTACCTCACAGTGCAAACATATTGTATCCTGTTGTATAATAGGAGCACTTTGTATTGTAGCTACTGACCGACCTACCTATCTTCCATTCTCTCCACCTGGTGATCAAAGTGACAAAAACTTAAACCGGTCCCCTGTTAGCTTCCATGACTGGCCACTGATCTGTGCTTATGGGTTACACTGAGCAAAGGGCTCTAGCTTTCCACATGCTTCAACCCCTTTACACAGTCACCCTCCAGCACATGAGTAAAACCTATGAAAATTCTATGCTTTAAGAGAGAAAATAATCAATTTTGAAATTGTGGAAGGTCATGTGAAGCTATATTTTTCTGTGTTCATAAAATTGGCGATATGTAAAGCACTTATTAGTAGTTAAGTAAATTTTCCCTCTTTGTGAATGCTTTTGGTTTAAAAGAAGAGAAAAACTTTGGCAAGCCTTCTTTTTTCTGTAATTAATCGGAAAGTAATTTATATAATTAGTAAGCAGATTTGAAATGTAATTTGGAATATTAAAGAAATTATATATACACCATATGTATGTGTATGTAAACATATATATGTATGTTTGTAACAATCATACACATGTATATAGAATTGCAGGCAGATGATGGGTAGTATACTTGATTATTGTATGACTACTCAGTAAGCCTGTAATGATTTTTGTTTGCATACTAAATGTTGACTTCTTCATCCACTACTTTTGCAAGTTTTATGATTTTCTGCTATCTTTTTTTACCCTTTATCTTTTCATTTCTTAATATTTATGGAAAAGAAAAATCTCCCTTCACTGTATATTGAATTGCATGTTGTGGTGGCTTGATATGAAAGAAGGTACAGCATTTGGTAGCATCCGTGGTTTTCCACGCTAAAACACGAAAGAGGGCTCTAAATTTTAGTCTTGGCATTCATTAACAGGGATTTTTCTTATGGTGTGAAAGCATGGATATAAATCTTGTCACTTTGACATAATTGTAATTGGGTTTATGTACTAAGAGGATTGAGATTTATGACAATGTATTTCTGAAAAGTATATGACAGACGTAGGTCTATAATTTTACTAATTGTGTGCTGTGCGAAAGT